CCCCCCCCCCCCCCTCCCCCTTCCCCCCGCCCTGCTGTACCAGAACAAGGAGCAGCACGCGAGGGAATTGGCGTGGCTAACCCCGAAGGTTGCCGCGGCCGAGAGCCGAGCAGTAGAGATCGAGGGCTTGGTGGACCAGATGAACCTCAAGCTCTCGCTGCTTAGCGCCAGCCACAGAAAGGCCTCCGAGGAGGTCGCAGACCTCAAGGTTGAATAACCCGTTTGGTATATCGGCTATTGGACTTGTCGTTTCCATGCCGTTTTTTTCTGAAGTTAGGGGTTTGATTTTCACGAGGTACAAACCCTTCCCTTCCTGGAACGTATGTATGGCGTACCCGAACACTGACAAATTAAAAATAATCGAATAAAAATAAAAATGAACACACACACACACACACACACACATCTTTGTTCGGCTCTTCCCTGTAGGTTTCGCAAATGAGTAAAATCGGGGGCGAGGCTTGCGCAATACATGAGTTTCGGGAGGTGGAGCGATCTGTAGCGGTTCTTCATGGGACACTTGGCATGTCAACCGCTGCCCTCGCACATCAGAGCCACACCCAAATGGTAATGGGTCGAGCGGAATAACCGTTCTGTACCCCCGCACCTGAAACGTGGCGACGACTCTCAATTTCACAAGGCGTACTCCTGAGGGAGCCTTTGTTCAGCGCCAGAATATGTATTGCAGACATCCACAAATGAGATTCCCAAGGCAGAAATCCATGCCGCGCGCCGCAGATTCAGCTATCTCTGGCGAAAGCGGATGGTCCCGGTGCAAAGCTTTCTGATCTGCAGGGGGAGGCCGCGGAGTGTAGGAACGTTATCAGAAAACTCAAGGTGGGATTTCCAATGGCAAACATGGTAGCAGGCTATGGTTTTGTCATCGCTTCTCACACCGTCGCTCGACGTTGCTACCCGTCGTATCGCGAGGCCTCGTTTCTTTTGAACGAAACGGAGAGCTTCGATCCGGCGAACAGATTCCTCTGCGTTGCATACATGCCTTCGTGGTCAACGTGGGAAGGAGTTGAAAATGTCGATGGCGAGATTTCCGGCCAACGTTCGGGGAGACAGGGCCAACAAACAGTTGAACTCGGGACAAGCCAAAACGACGAAAGTAGAACAAACAATACGGAAGAACGAAATGACTACGAAAGCATCTCCCGTGCTCATCTAGTGTATCCCGGCCGCCGCGCATTGACAACTGCCCGATATACCTGAGCGAAAGCAGCATGCACGTGTAGGATACCATGTGCGTGTACCACCTTCAAGCAGGGCAGTGCATGATACAACGAAACGCGTCACCCCAACGCACGGTCGTGTTTTCTTCCCTCAATTTTCCATCCTATCATCGTTTCGCACAACTATTTCCGCACCGCACCGCTCATGGCCCTGTGTCCTAACTCCCGCTGCCGTTCCTTCAAAGGGAGAGGTTGCGAGAAAGGGTCGGCTCGTAACGGTGGCGATGGCGGCGAGGGCGGAGGTGCAAACCACGTACCAAGACATGAAGCAGAGCACGGAGGACCTAGAGAAACGCTTCCGAGAGACCGAGGTTGAGTCTGCGTGTGCTGTTCTTATTGGCATCGACTGCGCTAACCGGCTGAGACGTCAGTCTCAGTGCGGTTGAAATCACTAAGTGGTTCTAAAGGCCACAATCCAGGACCCTGTGCAGGAGCGTCGTGGGGGAGTCTACGCTACTCTCCGGATTGAGCAATATCCGAAGAAAACTACACGTGTTTACCATGGGTGCTACTACTTTGGATACGAGTTCTTCGTCCTCTTCCCCGCCACTCTCGTCGTCAATATTCCCTCTACTTTTTGGCAGGTCCTCTCTAACCCTGCGGTGTTTGTTGTGAGGAAGGTACATAGTCTGGCTAAAATGTTTTGCACTCTTTCACGCCATGTTTTCCTCCTCCATCATCGCCTTCGTCCTCCTTTCTTCGCTTTTCCCTTTCCTTCAACTCCGTCACTCCGAAAAGAACTACCCTCAATGCCATCGTTACCGTTTTCACCAGAACTACTACAAACCCCCCAGCATGTTGGCCGTGGTGGACGTTGTTCGATCAGTAGTCCATGACGCTTGAATACATCACGAGTTCATACCGACAGAAAACAAGCCAGTTCGAAGGAAACCGTCTCCGAATTCGGTTGATATGGAAAGCCTTGAGGCGAAGCAAGGCTTTCTCATCGTCGAAACTCCCCCTTGAAAGTACTTCGTAGGCCAAATGGTTGGCGATAGCTACGATTAATCGATTGGTGCATTGGCCAAGTCCATGATACGTTGAAAATCAGCAGTAAGGAGGGTAAATCTAGACGGGTTGAAAGTTCCCGCATAGTGGTTTGCCTTTCGTGCAGCTCGATCTTCGAGGGCGGATCCTGGCGTTCGAATCGATTTGTCGATGCTTCTACTTGCAGATGGGTTGACGATTGTGACATCTACAGAATGGTCTGTGTGTGTTCGTCCTGGTCTACACACCAACCTCCGGTGCACCACGTACTTGCCGGGGTCATGCTGGACCGTTTGAATTCTTTAATTGTTTTTTGCAGGTGCCCCGCTTCTACTTAGGTACCTCTGGTGCATGAACGCGTCAGCACACGCAAAAAAAAACACATCATACCCCCCCCCCCCCCCCCCCCCCCCCCCCCCCCCCCCCCCCCCCCCCCC